TCTTCTTTAGTCTCCAAATTTTCCTCCATGTCCAATGCATCTTCTTCCTCATCATTGCGAATGAGATTCATTTCTTCTTTGGAAGTGGGTTTCAGTTCATCGTGATTTAACTGCTTTTGAAAAATAGAAAAAGAAAAGAAGTCAGCAATGAAGCAAACTTTAACCACTAGAGTAAAATTTTACTCTGTTTCAAAGTAAAAGTTTACTCTGATTGTAAGTAATAAGTAAACTTTTACTCTAATTTTAAGTAAACTTTTACTTTGTTCAAGAGTAAGTAAAATTTTGCTCTGATTGTAAGTAGAAGTTTACTTTGATTGTAAGTAAACTTTTACTCTGTTCAAGAGTAAGTAAAATTTTACTCTGATTGTAAGTAAATTTTACTGTGATTGTAAGTAAACTTTTACTCTGATAATAAGTAAACTTTTACTCTGGTCAAGAGTAAGTAAAATTTTATTCTGTTTCAAAGTAAAATTTTACTCTGATTGTAAGTAAAAGTTTACTCTAATTGTAAGTAAACTTTTAGTCTGATTTAAAGTAAACTTTTGCTCTGTTCAAGAGTAAGTAAAATTTTACTCTGTTTCAAAGTAAAAGTTTACTGTGATTGTAAGTAAACTTTTACTTCAGTTTTAAGAAAACTTTTACTCTACTCAAGAGCAAGTTTTCTTATGTAAGTATAATTTTAAGCAAAGTGAACCAATAAGGCTGAGTTTGGAAAAATGATACCTCTTCGGGCTTTAGTGTTTGCAATGACCTCTTCATTAGCTTTTTCCTCAATGTTGATAAGTCCCATCGAAGGAGCCTTGGACACAAATTTTTTCCTTGAGGTTGAATGAGGGTAGTATACTCGCATAACCAGTACTATAAAATAAAAAATCGAAATTAGTTAATTCTCTAAAGATAGATTACATAATATTTTAAGTAGTTCAATTTACTTACCAAAAGAAGAAGTACACATCCAGTCACATTTTCAGGACTTCCTAATGAAGAATGGATTGAAGTAGTCAACGTGGATGCAACTATAGTCGACCATGCATATGAATTCATCATTTCCAAATCTTCTACAAGGACAACAAAGCCCATCCAACTGTTAGACCAGTTGTTGGTAATAGCAAAGTTGCCACAATAAACAAACACATTATTCGGGAAACATCCTCAACATCAACTGTCGTTGTGCCTTCCAATGCATCTACTAATGCCTCTCGCAAACTCTTTATGGATATTCTTGACATATTACAAAACCTTCTCTGCACAAAAGTTGATTCTTGTTTCTTCCCATATGAGACGTTTACTTTTTTCGTTCCTGATTTTATCCCAAAAATAAAAGTAACGTCACTGTCTCGTATGTCACACGTTTTCTCCCCAAGCTTAAATCCCTTTGCATGAAAGTCATAACATTTGATCACATCCATGACATTATCATCAAGTTTCTTAAACTTCTTTAACACCACATCTTCTTCTTTCCAAAAAGATTTAAACAACATCCCAGAAGGTGTTCTCTCAAGGGTAGTAATATGTCTTTTAGTGAACCTCGTGTCCCATTAGGTTTATCAGTGAAACAATACTTAACCTATATTGTTTCACATAGTTCTCCCTCTCCCGTACTTCATGTACAACATTCAACTTCAAAGGTTTTGTTGTTGAAGACATTGGATTGCTTTCGTTACAGCCTTCATCATCACTAGCATTGGACTGAACTTCTTTACTACTTTTGCCCTTTTTTTTAGGGACTTTCTTCTTTTGTATAGCAGTTTGTGGAACTTCAAAATCATCATCATCATCATCATCATCATCATCATCACCACATTTGTTTCTTGCAACAACCATTTTAAAACAGTAAAAAGTTTTCCTATATCAACAGTGTAACATTTTACTTTAAACAACAAAGTGACAAAACAAATAAACACTAAAGAAAATACACAAGCATTGTAATGAGACAGTAAAGTTTTACTTTGTTTGCCAGTAAAACTTTACTTTTATTAAAAGTAAAATTTTACTTTGATTGGAAGTAAAATTTTACTCTGAACAATATACCCTAGGAAATAAACCAAAAACACATACAAAATTTATAGAACCAAGAATCAACAAAACCTTGTCTCAATTTTGACTATACGCAACACAGTTCTGAAATTAACATGTACAATTCACATTCAAACCGAAATCAGAAAAATCACGAAACTACAATCACATTCACATACATAAATAGATTTATATATATATATATATATATACACACAAATTGATATGCACATTTATGTAATGAGCAAAGGCTCGAATTAAAGTAAAATTTTACTCTGGTTGGAAGAAAAATTTTACTCTCATTGTAAGTAAAATATGACTCTGAAAAATTCATGAAGCAAGTGAAATTGAAAGCATTGAAATTGCAGGACCAAAACACTACAGAAATCAAAGCAATGAAATTGAAGCAAAACTGCATACACCATTCTGAAATACCTAAATTAGTTTTCAAAATTTTTAAACCTTAACATTCTCACATGATTTA